TAAAGTCTTACGTTAACACTAGGCCCAAAAGACTGTTCGGCTCTATCTTACCTATTATAAAGATTCAATTAAGCAAAATAAAATTGATAGGCATAGATAGATATAGAATGATTTGGTTAATTATCTTTCATACTGGTCATCCTACTTTTGCTCAAGTGTGTGTGATAACGTCTGTACGTAATACCAGTCCTAAATCAGAGTGATAAAAAAGGTTAATCTCAGGCTCTGGTCATCAAGGTTTAATGATCCAAGAAAAAAGCTCTGAGAGAGACTGTGTATCGTCATGTGACAGACATCGTCAGAGCAGGACACCATGTCTAATGATAATTCACCAAAAACACGAAGGCAAGAAAGCTGACCGGCGTCAAATCTACTTCCTTCTTATATTCCAATTTGGTCCATTTATGCATCTCATGCTTTGGTTGGATGTTCTGTGCTTTGTCTCTATATTTGCCCATAAGTTTAGTTAAGTGGCTGCGGATGACATGTGAAGTGGCTACACATGAAGCGCGAAATGGATGCAATTGAAACCGAACAGCTGCATCTTCGCCTAAAACACGCATGCATTTGATTAGGCAATGTTACCGCATGCGTTTGCATCCCATTACATGCGTATTGTGTGAATGCATTGCTCTTGAGATGAGTGGGATGTGAGAGTCGAAACCAAATTCCAGACTAATCAGCCTCCTCTCGTTCCCCATCTCTCTCTCTCTCTCTCTCTCTCTCTCATTAGACCGGCCCAACAGCCACAAGTAGTTTCTGCTTAACTTCCTACACTCATTCCTTCTATTCAGGGTGTTGGCTATTTTGTTGATTTCTATTGCCTCACTAATCTTTCGCTGGCTGGTATAGTCTCCAGTTCCAGCTAAGCGTTTGGCCCTAGACCAATCTATCCGGTGTCCTCCACGAGCTATGTTTTTCGACCCACATGCCATACTCTTGTAGGCTGTATTATATTCGGATAACCTCTTATGTATGGGCCTACAGGTCCTTCGCACATAGGCCTTACCACAGGAACACAAAATCGCGTAACAGCCCGATCTGCAGAGCGGGTCAGAGTATTGTCGAAAAGAAGGCAATAGTGAGAACTGTGTTATTCTCTCTTTATTAATGGTCCTGATGTCCCACCTCCTCAGTAATTCGCCTATCTTCTTCAACAGATTATACGATAGCAGCATATGGATCCTGGTATAGTGATCTATCTTTTTATCTAGCCACAAATATGTATTGCCCTTCATTCGAATTGACAATATTATAAATGAGTGGTCAACCGGCCCTCCTGAAAAATCATTCTCAACCACTTAATCTCCTCAGTTCCCGTTCTCGATGTTTGACATCGGCCGGATGCAGGCTCCTTATTATCATAGACTTCATAATTCCAACTTTAACTCCATAATTGTGGTTGAAGAATAAATTCAAAGGTAACTTGCATTTGTGGGTTTCCTATG